GGAGAGGGATCCTCAATGGGCCCTCATCTTACTGTGCAGTCCTGTCAGAGACTATTCTCATACTTCAAGAGGGTGTTTGACCGTGTAGCTCAGAATGATGCGCAGCGTCCAGAGTGTCTTCATCCTCTGTTGACTGTGCAGGGGACCTGGAACAAGACTTTACATCACGGGAAGTAGAGACCAGACTTACAAAGACCAAAAACACAGCCCCAGGAAAAGATGGCATTTGCTATAACATCCTGAAAAAATGAGATCTTGGCTGCCTGGTATTAACTGCACTTTTCAACAAATGCAAACAATTCAGCTCCTGGAAGAAGTCTGACAGTGCTCGTCTACAAGAAAGGTGAGCAAGACGACTCCAGCAACTGGAGACCCATCTCTCTTTGCTCCACCATGTACAAAGTGTAAGCCAAGTGCCTCACGGCTAGGAAAACAGACTGGTCGGTGAACGGAGGAGCTATCAGCTCTATCAAGAAAGGCTTCATGTCATGCGAAGGCTGTTATGAACACAACTCTTGTCCTTCAGTCTGCCATCCACATGGTCAAGAGGGCATGGAGGCAGTGTGCCATAGCGTGGCTCGAACTGGCTAATACTTTTTGGATTGATGCCCAATCAGCACATTTTTGCCATGCTGCGAGAGTTTGGGTTGCCTGAAAACTTTCTCCACCTGATCCAGGAACTATATGAAGGCTGCACCACCACCATCCGCTCCATGGAAGGAGAGAGGCCTGAAATTACTATCTGTAGTGGTGTGAAGCAAAGTTGTCCCCTCAGCCCCATAGTTTTCAACTTAGCCATCTCCTGCGGGCTATGTGGTTTTGACCTGTATGGCAACACCGTGAATATCCTGGCCTATGCAGAAAATCTGGTCCTGATTGCAGACAACCCCGAGTGACTCCAACAAATGCTCGACATCACCAGCCAGGCTGCCAACTGGACGGGACTTCGCTTCCCTGCATATCGATGGCAGTAGAAGGGACTCAGTCCAGGCGATGTCTTTTCAGATCCAGGGTGAACCTATGATCTTCCTCGAGGATGGGCAAGCATGCTAACATCTCGGCACGCCCACAGGTTTCTGCATCCAGCAGACACCTGAGGATACCATTGCGTAGATCCTACGAGTTGCGGCCAGGATCGACTCCTCCCTACTGGCACCCGTGGCAGAAGATCAACGCCTTGAACACCTTCCTGATCCCCCATATCTCATTCGTCCTGAGGGGATCTGCTATGGCTAGGTACCTCTGAACAAGGCAGACGACACCATCAGGCAGCTAGTAAAGAAGTGGATGTTTCTTCCCCAGAGAGCCAGCAATGAACTGGTTTACATCTCTCACAGGCAGGGCGACGCCAACGTGTCTCGTATGGGTATCTGTGCAACATTACAGTGATCACTCACGCCTTCCACCTTCTGATGTGCCCAGATCCCATGGTGAGGAACATTGCAGAAAGTGCCATACGGGATGTCATCAAGAAGCACCAGGACCCCCTCCAACCATGCTGTCGCCCCCTTCCTGAGCGGCTCGTTGGAAAGCCTAGTTGGAAGAGACGGAGACTTTGCTTTCCTGTGGACTCGTGCCCGCTACGTGACGCCTGGAGAAGTGCATCAACTGCTGCTGGACATGGTGCGAGGAACAGTAGGAGCTGGGAGTCCTAGTGCCATAAGTGAAGAACACGGATCACACAATCCTCGCTCTGAAAGCTAGAACCATGCTGGAGAGGACCCTGAAGGATGCCATCTGCTGCCAGTATGTGGAAAACCTGAAGTCGTACCAGGGCAAGGCATTCGAGGTGACATGCAAGTGGGATGCCAGCAACCACTTCCTCCCCGGGGACAGCTTCAACCGATTTTCTGACTGGGGGTTCATCCACAGGGCCCGGCTCAACTGCGTCCTGCTGAATGGAGCCTTCCACCACGGGAATCAGGACAAGTGATGCAGGAAGTGCAGCTATGCCAATGAGATGCTACCCCACATCCTGTGTAGCTACAAGCGCCATTCCAGAGCCTGGAATTCCAGAGCCTGGCAGCTGTGACACAGTTATTGAAAGGTTGCACAAAAATGAGAAATGTTTGACTTCCAGGACCTTTCTTCCCCCTAACTTTTCCTATATCATTGGTACCACTGGCCTCAAAAGTTCTGCAAATTCTTTAATTGATGAGCAACTGCATTGTAGAACCTGTCAGGATATGTGTAACATATGTTGGGGATGGATGGATAGGGGTTTGCACCCAGAAAGGGTGTAGAAACTGGGGTTTAGTAGGCTGGGCATGCATGTTGGGGGAAAATCCTTTCTCAAATTAATTTAGTTAACCTCTATGCTCTTTTAACATATTCTCATAGGTACTGATGATGTGGCTAGTGCCACAGCTGATTAGGGTCTTTGCTTAATAGTGTGATTTGAATACTGCTTATCTCTAATACATGGTGGTAAAAAGTTTTGTTATTCTCCATGGCTGAAGAGTATTCTAATCATTCTTGGACTCCTTCTTGTTTGAGAATATTAGGCAAATAATTGTTGCCTTGGGTTTTGTTAAAGGGAAATGGTCAAGTTGAAAATCACACCTATTTGAATCTACCTTCTGTTAAAAGAATCCCCTATGATCCCTAAAGCTGAAGTAGATTAGAGGAAACCTTTCTCTTCTTTCACTGTCTAGTCCATTTCACAGTCTTGTTAGTTATTCACACTTCTTATCCTAGCATATGTCTAGCCATCAGCTAGGAGGTGGGATTGCTAGCTCAGGTAGATATGCACATATAGCTCTGCTTGATCAAGAGCAGGGGTTTTCACAGCAAATTTTTTGGTGGCTTCAGAGTGCAGCCACCAACTCTTGCTGGTGGCTGCGCTGACAATTTTTCCTAAAATACTTAATTCACTTTAGGAAAAACAAATAAATATGCACATGTACAAATAATTGTAATTTATGTAGGGTTTTTTCACTCAGTAATAGAAATAATTTGCAGTTGTCTCTATTCTTTACTGGACTGAAACAGAATAGAAACACACAAATAAGGTGCTTTGCATGGTCTTGTCTTTTTGTTGTTTGTTTTTTTTTCCTCCTGCTTTTTTTGGTTTCACTTTTTTCCCCTAAGACTTGCAAGCTGATAAGTCTTCTGCTGTGAAAAGTGATATTTGTATGTTTGTTAATATCACTTTTCACACTTACTCAGCGTCGGCAAACCCTGGGACAAATTAAGCCCTGGATGGGGAGGTGGGCAGGGAGGCAGTGGAGCCCAGGGACGATGGCAGGGGTGGTGAGCCTGGGGCTGGAGCCCGGAACCAGAGACTGCCACTGTGTGGATGGAGCCCGAAACCCCATGGCCGAAGCCTGCCTCCCCTACCCCGGGAAAGTGGGGAATTCACCAGCTGCCTGCACCTCCAGCATTTGTGTCTCCGGAGGGAAGTTCCTGGTGGCTGCATTTAGAAACACTGATCTAGAGTGCTAAATATAGTGGTATGGTCACTGCAGCCATGCTGCTATATTCAGCATGGTAGCTCAAGCAGAGCTAGTGCACATGTCTACCTGTGCTGGGAATCACACCTCCCTGCTGTTGTGTAGACATACCCTAGGCTAAAAGTATAACATTAGCTAGCTCATTCTGACTGACAAAAGTCACATACTTAGTATGTGTTTAAAGGCCTTCGCTAACAGCAGGTTGTCCACACTTAGACTTAATGTGATGCAGGATGTCTTTTTTTAATCTTGGTCTAGATAAATGCTGTGAGAATATGTGAGGGTGGGTATGCCTGTGACTAGAATATTTGGTGTTTTTGAGTCTGCTCCTAAACCCTTGTACTTTTTTTAAAGCAGTTTTAAAAAAAATTCAAGACCTGCTACTTTGCTTTCTTAGAAAACTGCATTATTTTTTTAAAAAATCCATTGTTTGAAAAAGAACTTGGGTGGACAAGTGTCTGTAAATTGGTGGTAAAATCTCGATACTTCTCCGCTTAGGCATACATTGTGTGTATCTTCAAAACAGTTTTTATAATAATACTTGTTTGGATGCTCAGAGCTCTCAATAACATTCACCTGTGAGGAATGAATTTCTGTTTTGATCTGCGTCCAACAGTGACTTTGGGAAATCCGACCAATTTTTGAAACTCTGGGGGGTGAGGAGCGAGGGCACGGCAGGCAGGCTCAGGGGAGGGGGCGGGAAGGGGTGGAGTGTGGGCAGGGCCTGTGGCAGAGCCAGGGGTTGAGCAGGGAGCACCGCCCAGCACATTGGAAAGTTGGCACCTGTATCTCCAGCCCCAAAGTCGGTTCCTATACAAGGAGCTGCATATTAACTTCTGAAGAGCCACATGTGGGCCACCCCTGGTTTAGACTCAGGAAATGGAGAAGTTCAGATGTGAATAGCTATATCACCTCAGTTGTGTTTATATGTTAAACCTGTAGTGTTTTCTGTTCTTCCTTGTTAAGTACATATTTAAATCTGTCTGTTTTATGTGATACGTTTTAGGTTTGGAATGGTCATGTTACTTATGAATGGCAAAGCCAGACAGACCAAAAATGGAATATCTTTGTACCAACAGTGAATGGCTTGGAAAACTTAAGGCTAGGTTCACTCTAAAAAGTTAAGGTGACCCAGCTACCTCTTTCATTGGTGTAAAAAATCCATGCCCCTGATTGCCGTAGTTAAGCTGACCTGTCCCCCAGCGTAGATAGTGCTAGGTCGATGGAAGAAATTCTTCCATCAACCTAGCTACTGTCTCTAGGGGAGGCGGATTAACTACTGGGACAGGAGAACCGCTCCCGTTGCTGTAGTGCTTCAGTTTAGCCACTCACTAGAGCTGCAGCTGTGCCGGCGTAGCAGTTTAAGTGTAGACTTATCCTAATTGTGAAATGAGTCTATAATGGATAGATAGTATTACAGCCATAAGTAGGGGTTTCTTCTATAGTTCATATATCATGCAGTTTTTGTTCCCAGAGAACTTCATTTAAAATGCCAATTTCAAGTCAGAATCTGTAAAGGCTTCTAAGGAGGTTTTGTTTTCTCTACAGGTTTTTGTTGGCAAGATTCCCAGAGACTTGTATGAGGATGAATTGGTGCCACTCTTTGAGAAGGCTGGTCCAATTTGGGATCTGCGCCTCATGATGGATCCTCTGTCTGGTCAGAACAGAGGTTATGCTTTTATTACCTTCTGTGGCAAAGACTCAGCACAAGAAGCAGTCAAACTGGTGAGTTAACTCATTCTGGACACAGCAGGTTAATAGTATTACTCCACCAAGTTTAACATACTTTTTTAAAATCCCTCCTCAAAGCTCAGCTCTGCTATAGTTCATGCAGTGAATTGCCATGTGACAGTGGCTATGTGATTGGTGATTTGTGATTACTGCTAATGATCAGTTACAAATTGTGCACACCTCCAGTCTGTGCTAAAACGTACTGCAGCCCCAACACCTTATGTACAGATACAAACATGCTTTTTCGTCCGCCTGTTATATCTTTGGTTTGGGGCTCCGCATCTAGGGACAGTCCTGGTACAATGAGGCTTCAGCCTGCTTGGACCTCTAAATTGTATCACGATATAAGAGTTGTAGGAAAAATAAAGTATTAGTTACTAGGTTACATCTGTGAGCAGTGACTTTCACTACCTGTTAGTGAAAAAAAAAAAGTGATTGGCCCTCAGGCTGAAAAAGTTGAATATTACTGCTATATAGCCTCTCTCCAGCTTCATCAAAACCCACTTAACCCTTTCCCAATAGGACCAACGCCTGTTATCAGGGTGAGGTTTCAAGCAAACACTGGCAGCTTATTAGCCTCACTGAAAAGAACTCAGCAGTCATAATCTAAGAATTTGAACAAACATATCACCGTATAAGATTTACAAACGTATTGAGTATTCACCCACGAAAGCTCATGCTCCAATACGTCTGTTAGTCTATAAGGTGACACAGGACTCTTTGCTGCTTTTGCAGATCCAGACTAACACGGCTACCCCTCTGATACTTGTATAAGATTGTTATCTTGGGCTCTTCCAGGACTCAAATTCCCAGCAGGACATGCATAATTCATCTTTTCCTATAATATGGAGCTGAAATTCATAGCCCTGAGGGGCCATGAAAAGTCCAGCTTTGAAGTTAACACTTCTAAAAACCATTGCTGGCCCACTCCTGTTTCTTGTGCTGGGCCTTGAGACAGTAATTTGAAGCAGGAGAAAACATTCCTTGGGCAGGTTAGTTTAAGAAACTCCACAAAGTTCTCTCTGAAGCTGCTCAAGATATGGAAATGTTAAAATAACTCTCAGATGTGGCTTAGTGGGCAGGTGATGGGTCACTGGTGAATGATTTATCACAATTACCTGCAATTTATCACATGTGCATTCTGTGTGTATATAAATTTCAAAAGTGTGTCCTATCCAGAATTTTCAAACCCACAATGTTTGTACAGGCAGTCCTTGACTTTACAGTGTTCAACTTATGACAAACAGTACGTACGTCGCTTATGAATTGACACCCTGATTCAACTTTTGACAATTGATTTTTGACTTTACAAAGCTCGGTCCCGCAATGGAGTGGATTGCGGTTCCGAGTTACGGCATCTTGGCTTGCAATACAAGTGATTCCTGAAAATTGTGTCGTAAGTCTGAGGACTGCCCGTATTAGTGTTTCACCTCTTTGCCAAGTATAAATTCAACCATGAAACCTGCTTTTGAGAAATAAAATGTCCTTTCTGGAAGATATTGGAAAAAATCAGTTTTCGAACTTGGTAGTAACTATTTTTAGCAAAGATTTGAGTTTCCATTCAGATTGAATTAAGATCATTAAGCTTCAAATAGTATGGGACAATGTTGACTTCTGTAGGCTTCAATCATAGGGTATGATTCTGCTTTCATTAACATCAGTGATGAAATTTTTAATGACTTCAGTGGGAGTGGGATCAGGCTTGAATTAAAAAAAAACAAAAAACCAACACGCTGTTGAAAAGCAGATTCTGTTGAAAAGCAGAGTTCACTTAAACTTCTAATAAGTTTCTATTACATATTGTATTATGAATCACTCTATTTGTATTGAAACCAAATTTTCAAATGAATTTGGATCAAATATTAATCTGTCTCTTCAATAAACTGTTCTTTGAGTGCTTGCACATTACAATTCCATTCTAGGTGTGCGCATGCCCATGTGCGCAGTCGTTAGATTTTTGCCTTAGCAGTATCTGTAAGGTTGGCTGTGGCGCCCCCTTGTGTGCTGCACTCATGCGCTGGTATTTCAGGCACCGCTGGCCCTACGCCCTCTCAGTTCCTTCTTACCGCCCGTGGTGGTCAGTCAGAGCACCTTTCCATGCTTGACAAGGACTAGCGGTTTTTCTCCCTTGGACTTTGTGCCCTGAGGCCTTGTATATAGTTATCCTTAGTAGTTAGTATTAAGTACCTGTTAATAGTTTAATTGTTGTTAAGGGTCCAGGGGGTGCCCCTGGTGGGGCATGCCCCAGTCTCCCGGTTTCAAGCCCTGCACAGATTGTAATAAGTCTGTGACTGTTGTCTTTGACATGTGCCTCCCCCAAGCACTTGAGACAAGTGCTGTATCTGTAAGAACTTTCGGCCTTGTCTGCAAAAAGAGTGGGACATTTGGCTCTGGGCTGTCCTTACGGAGTCCATCTGCGCCTCCTCGGCATGAGTCACCAAGCACCTCAGCATCAGTAAAAAGTACACCGGCACTGGGCTTCGCCCGTCACCGCTCCCTGTCACTGGTACCGAAAAAGGACGCAGAAGCACGGCTCCCCAGTGTCAGTGAAGAAAAGCCAGGGGACAGCTGGCAAAGGAACTGCCTTGGGCCATCCACTCACCCCGGCGCCCCGCAGTCGGCTTTCTCCAGCAGAGGCCGTTAGCTCAGTAAAAGGTCCTCCTCTGATTCCCGTGAGCAGTACTGGACCATCTTCCTTGCTGGCACCGACGCCAACACATGCTCCCCAGGCATTGAAGGAGCACAGGCCTCCGCCTACACAGCTAGCACAGCAAGTGCCAGAAGCTTCGGTGAAGGCTCCCCAAGAGGGCAAGTGAGAAGTAGTGGAGCGCCACAGATTCCCCGAGACAACAGCGCACTCTCCACCACCACGCTGACGCACGCCGGAGCCTCCATCCCGGCTGGCAGATGCTTGCGGTTGGTCACTGGCACCGCGGTCTCTGTCACCTTCGCACCAATGCAGTTCGCCAAGAGGAAGGTGCCGTTCCCTGTACTACCAGCACCGATTGCCATCCTGCAGGTCATCTCCTCGTCGCCGATCGCTGATGCCGTGGCAATGTTCTCCTTCCCGCCTCCGGTCCCCTCTGGCACTGACACAGGTCTCCATGGTGTGGGTACTGGCCCCCCCATGCAGGGCACCAGTCAGTTATCGGTGGTCTCAAGGCAGACTCGGGCATCTACAGCCCCTCCGTGGTCTCCGGAAGGAGGTTCCTCCGGAACAGAGGGTTGCTTCAGCCCGTTGCCTAGACCCCCAGAGGCGGGAATGGGTTACTGATCTGGCATTGACAGCACAGAGGCAATGGCAGCCGGGTCAGTGGCCTGTGCAGTGGTCTTGTTGGAACGCATGGGGGGTTCCGGTCATGGCTATGACCTATCTCATAGAGCTGGAAGGGACCTTGACAGGTCATAGAGTCCAGTCCCCTGCCTTCACTAGCAGGACCAATTTTAGCCCCAGATCCCTAAATGGCCCCCTCAAGGATTGAACTCACAACCCTGGGTTTAGCGGGCCAATGCTCAAACCACTGAGCTATCCGTCCCCACCCTTCATCGGCAGCTCCCTCAGAGCAACTGGCACCGATGGCACTGAGCCTGGAACCAGACACACACCCGGAAGCTGAGACTCGGGAGGTGGTCCCCACCCCTAAGCCACCCTCCCTGACAGAGGAGGAGGACCAGGGCCCCCCTCCGGTGGGACAGTCATAATCTTCATCCCCGGACGAGGCAGTTGCAAGACCCTCCACGGCCAGCACGCCCGATGATTTTTCAGGACCACCAGGCCTTGCTCCGGTGGGTGGCCGAGAACTTGGGCCTCGAGGTGAAGGAGGTGGTCGAACAGGCGGGCGCTTTATTCAGTGTCCTGTCGGCCTCTACCCTGATTTGTGTGGTGCATGATGAGGTCCTCAACGTTGCCAAGGCCATCTGGCAAACACTCTCCTCCATCCCTCCCACCTCAAAACGGGCCGAAAATAAGTACTTTCTCCTGGCCAAAAGTTTTGAGTGTCTTTTTTGAGTTTTGCTTATACCCACCCTCCCCCGGCTCACTAGTGGTCTCCTTGGCCAATGAAAAGGAAAAGCAGGGGCTGTTACCTTTCTTCAATGGCCTCCTCCCCTACTGTTCAGCCTAGTTGCGGCTCACATCGGATTGCTGGGTCCTGGACGTAATATCTCGGGGCTATACCCTGCAATTTTTGGCCACCTCTCCTCTCACCCCCCCCCCCCCCCCCCCCCCCCCCCCCCCCAACTTCCCCGTCCCTCTTCATGGACCCTTCTCATGAGCACCTACTGCTTCAGGAGGTCGAGAACCTTCTGTGCCTGGGGGCAGTAGAAGAGGTTCCTCGGGGCATGAGAGGAAAAGGGTTCTAGTCCCGGTACTTCCTCATGCCGAAGGCAAAAGGGGGGCCTCAGACTCATCCTGGGCCTGCATCAACAAGTCTCTCAAGAAACTGAAGTTTCGCATGGTTTCCCTGGCCTCCATCATCCCCCTCCCTGTATCCAGGAGACTGGTATGCTGCTCTCGACTTAAAGGACACTTATTTCCTCTCTTCTATATTCCCGGGCAACAGGTGTTTCCTCCGATTTATGATGGGAGGGCGCCATTTCCAGTTCACAGCGCTACCCTTTGGCCCTGAGGGTGTTCACAAAATGTGTGGTGCCAGTGGCGGCTTACCTCAGACATCAAGGGATCTATCTGTTTCAGTACCTCAACGACTGGTTCATCAAGGTCAGGTCTCCAGAACAGGTACAGAGAAGCCTCGAACTGATGCATTCCCCCTCCCGCCACCTGGGCCTGTTGATAAACCTGGAAAAGTCCACGTTAACGCCTGTCCAATGCATAGAGTTCATCAGAGCAGTTCTCAACTCCAGGTGAGCCAGTGCCTGCCTTCCGGAAGAACGCTTTCAGGCCTTGTCATCCCTGATTTGTCTGTTAAGGGACCACCCGCTCACTATGGGCCACATCTGCCTACGCCCTATGGGTCACATGGCCGCTTGCATGT